GGTCTGTCTGGGCTGACAGCATTACAGTATGCATAAACGCACCTCCTGTAGCTGTCACTATCCTACGATGCACAGATTCTGGGGATTCAATCAGCCACCATATTTGTGAACAGAAGTAAATGCAGATGTCCACCAACATTATATAAAAAAATACAACAACAGAACAACATGCTGGTGTAGCAAAAATATAGCATGTTCTTTAAAATGTTTTTTTACAAAATTATTTATAGCATGTCAGGCATCACAGTGGGCGGTGACTAATGATTGCCAACCCAAACACCACATCAGACTCACATTCAGACTTAAAGCTACAATATCTAACTGAAGGTAGCGCTAGCATGAAACTCACAATCAATACGTTCTGCTCCATCCAGCACTCCATCTCCCTTCTCCACTATGCTCTACTACTATACATTCTGCTACACTCCACCATGCTCTGCCCAGATATTCAGATATCTGTCATTATGAAATTATAGTAAATGAAAATGCAACAGAATTGATTGATCAAGCAGAAATAACAGAGATCAATCCCACTAAAACCTTTTAAAAGCTAATATCTCTGCACTGCTACCAGTGCTGTTCAATGAGTCTGGGTCACAGGAGGCTTCAACAGCACTTCTCCACATTAAGACAAGCTTTGGAGCATATTTCTACAACAGAAACATTTGAAAAAGTTACATACTGTAGCTTTAAATTGAGGTCTCACAGAGCTGCAAAAAACAGCAGATATGCTTGTCAAACAGAACAGCACACCCTCCCTTCTCTCAATATCAGTTCTCCTCACATGGACCAGTTAGCCACTCTATTGCTGCTTGAGCTGCCAACCATGACACAATTCACAAAGCATAAACTTGAGATTTATGTATACAAATCGCACCCTCCTAATCCAAACACAGAGACACACATACCTTATAGAGTGATTAACAGCCTCAGCCCAGGCTGGGTGACAGCTGCTGAGACTCCATTTTAATCTGGCATAGCTTTATTGTGAAAATCCATCTGACCTGTTCTGCAATAAAGTATGGGCAACATCTACTACAAGCCAAACATACAGAGTTTCATATATTGGTTAGCATTTGGTGATCCAATGAGGTTTTCAGACTTCTGCTGGAATGCAGTCTTTCCTTTTCATTCACTTAGTAATTCTCTTAGCACTGCAGCAACATAGTTCTATTTACTTCCCAGCAAACTGTGTGACAGTACCTAGACAGGAAGATTTTTTCCCTGCAATAATTTAATAGAAAGGTGCATAATATTATGTAAAGTGAATCCACTTACATTAACACCCTCCACACATACAGTAAACCTCGTTTAGCTTTGTTTCACCAATATCCTGAAAAGGTATGCGGATGTACAGTACAGTATGTCTTTAAATGCTGTTCTTGATGCTCACAGGAACAGCCAAAAGCATTGGCTGATACTTCTATTGCCTGTAATGCACCATCCAAAAATATTGCATTCCAAACTATCCAGTAGTCACATGACATCCCCACCCTCCTCCCTGATTTCTGTTCTAAAAACTACTGAGTCATGCAATGAGATCATCCTGACACCGACATCACCTTTTAGCTTATGCATACAAGATGCTGGATGGATATATAGCAGTAAATAGCAAACCCTTTGCCCAATTTTAGTCCCAAACACAATCCCACCTCTATCCAATTCAATTAACCACATGATTGCTTCACTGATCTTGCAGCGAGTAATGATTTCCCTGCCAAGTGATTCTGCTCTTGTCCTGACGCAGGGCTTTATGGACAGTTGATGAACACAGGCTTCCCAAAAAGTACTGCAGTGGGCTGGTCCCGGTCAGGACGCTAAGCCCCGCTCTCTCAATCGCCACTTTGGAAACGTGCTCAAACGGATTTTAAGCAACAACAAGATACTGTCAGTGCGACTCGGAGATCATTATATCATAAACGACAAAACAGGCTCTCGAGCAGCATCGTACTTTGCCAATAAGTCAATAGCTGGACGGTGCAGAAACTTGCGTGCCAGCTGAGAGAAAGCACTGCAATGCAGACAGGCCAATGCGATGGGGAGCACAGTGCGCACCTTCTGCAGGACCGACGCAATTTGCTGCTGCACTTGGAAAATCCTTGTGCTCCCGCATAACAATATTTGCTGAAATCGCAATAGCCAAAAATAGTTAACTATAATGATCTGTGTTTGAAGAATATGCCTAGTTTTATCGTAGCTTGTTTTGCCCTTCAGAGGTCCCAACACCTCAGTCTGCATTTTGCCCTCCAGTGGTTTTCTCCATTTATTACCAAATGTTATCTTGCAACTTTTTCCCCTTAAGCATATGATGAGACGGCAAACAGTCTGCAGATAATGCATGTATATACACCGTGAAATATTTTAATGATATTCTAGCAAGCGATACCAGATGAAAAAAAATTGCTGTTTCACAAGACTTACGTGATGAGCAATGTTGAAAACCCAAAAACAAGAGGCATATGCTCAGTATTTTGCAAGTCATCCTTCACTTAGTACACGTTTCTCCGCATAGGCTATTTTAATTAGACGGTAGATTCTTCTGCAGCATCCTCTCACCCCCTTTTAGCCCAACTTTAACTCGCGCAGCTCCAGCAGTTCTTCCCGGGATCTCGTAGAGCCTCTACCGGGGCGGGGGCGCGCATCGGATACTGGTGCTGATGCTGTGCTGCGCCAAGAGCGCGCAATTGTTCGTTTATATCCTTTAAATTGATTTCTTTACATGGCTGTCATTCAGTGGGGTGACGGGTGTACATATTTCACCGTATTTGTCCATATGCTCAAATCGTAGAGTTCTTGTAGGCCAGGTGGGAGCAGGGGTTTTGGTGCGTTCCTTCTCAGGAGTATCTATTTTGAGATGAAGAGGAAGGGAGGAAGAAAAAAACTTTATAATTGCTAGTATTTCCAAAAAAAGATCTTTTTAGAAATCATATGAGATTGTCTTTAGGCTCCAAACAAGTCTTGCAAGAAAACATTCTTCATCATAGCGACAGATCATATCACAATGCACAAATGATTTATTGCTCTTCTCATTTGCCCTGGCATCTCCTGCCCTCTGTTGGCACAGTTTTCATGGCTGCCGAGGATGCACTACATTAGTGACTGGATGGTTAAGAAGTCTTTCTCTCCAGGATTGCAGATCTAAATGTATCTCCAAAATAGGATGAAAATCCTTAAAATCCTGTATCAGCAGTTTTTTTTAGGATGACGCTCACAGCTGACCATCAGACTGCACTGTTCTGCAGGTTCTTTTGTCTGACTCTGTCCAGGTACTCTGTCCATGCCCATGCATGCTCAAATATGCCCAGAACAGAAGAGGTTATAGGATGATGATGATGATGCCAGCTGTGCCTGAACTCTCACACTCATCCCTGTACTCGCACGCACACACACACACTGAGTGAGGTGGGGTGGTGTAGGACTGAGGCACAGGGGGATTTGTGGCACAGTGACCACAAGATAAAATGGCTTTGGGATTAAGAAGTGGGTTTATAGGACGGCAGTGTGCGAGTGATGATGTTAGCTGAATGCCTGGGCCACTGTGGGATTTATCGTTTTCGATCGAATCAAATCATCAGTTTGTAAGCTCCCTGAACATAAGAGTAGAATTATATCTGCAGAGAAAAGACAATGGTAATGAGAAGAAAATTACATGGGAGAGTAAAGTAGAACATCAAATCAACAGTGGAAATGCACTACAGATGCAGCACAGGCAATGCAAAAGTATTTATTTACTGTAACTGACAAGAGACAGGTACTAAAATGATTTTTTGATGTGGTTAGACAGGATTACCATCTGTTTCCCTAAAGGCCTTTTACATTTGACCTTGTAGTAGCCATACAGAGCAGTCCCAGAGGGTACCTATTATGATCTGACTGAGGTTAAACTACTCATTTGGATAAAACAGTACAAAGGATGTAGTGATAACATTATTAACAAGAGTAGTCACAGGCAGATATTCCAGCAAACAGGCTCACCAACACTCGACCTCCCTCACAAGGTCACAATATCTTTAGCACCATGTGTGCTACAAGATGTTCCCCAAATGTCTTATTAAATTAATACATCCTAGTTTGATAAAACAACAAAATTAATAAATAAATCAATGTATTTTTCAATAAGTGCTACTTCAGGTGACAAACAATTTTTGATTGTTGATTTATTATTATTTATTTTTTTATTCCAATTCTTTGTTTATTTTTTCTGTATTTATTTATTTTGCTGTAACTTTTCATTCATGTACATTTGAACAAATTTTGTGTTTTAAAGGTAGAGCAGCCACCACAGCTGAACCACAACTGACCACTAGATGTCAGGTAAAGCTCAGACTTGTTTCACTGTTTTTCACATATGGCAGTTTGCATATTTAACTGTTTAGCTGTTAAAGCTGACTTTGCCCAGAAGGAGTCCCCCTCTGATTAAAGCTGGCTTTACCCAGAATGAGTCCCCCTCTGGTTAAAGCTGACTTTACCCAGAGGAGTCCCCCTCTGGTTAAAGCTGACTTTACCCAGAGGAGTCCCCCTCTGGTTAAAGCTGACTTTACCCAGAGGAGTCCCCCTCTGGTTAAAGCTGACTTTACCCAGAGGAGTCCCCCTCTGGTTAAAGCTGACTTTACCCAGAGGAGTCCCCCTCTGGTTAAAGCTGACTTTACCCAGAGGAGTCCCCCTCTGGTTAAAGCTGACTTTACCCAGAGGAGTCCCCCTCTGGTTAAAGCTGACTTTACCCAGAGGAGTCCCCCTCTGGTTAAAGCTGACTTTACCCAGAGGAGTCCCCCTCTGGTTAAAGCTGACTTTACCCAGAGGAGTCCCCCTCTGGTTAAAGCTGACTTTACCCAGAGGAGTCCCCCTCTGGTTAAAGCTGACTTTACCCAGAGGAGTCCCCCTCTGGTTAAAGCTGACTTTACCCAGAGGAGTCCCCCTCTGGTTAAAGCTGACTTTACCCAGAGGAGTCCCCCTCTGGTTAAAGCTGACTTTACCCAGAGGAGTCCCCCTCTGGTTAAAGCTGACTTTACCCAGAGGAGTCCCCCTCTGGTTAAAGCTGACTTTACCCAGAGGAGTCCCCCTCTGGTTAAAGCTGACTTTACCCAGAGGAGTCCCCCTCTGGTTAAAGCTGACTTTACCCAGAGGAGTCCCCCTCTGGTTAAAGCTGACTTTACCCAGAGGAGTCCCCCTCTGGTTAAAGCTGACTTTACCCAGAGGAGTCCCCCTCTGGTTAAAGCTGACTTTGCCCAGAAGGAGTCCACCTCTGGTTAATGCTGCCAAAATGCATGAAACATTGATATAAATATAAACAAATGGAAAAAAATTATCTCTGAGTAAAGAAAATGAGTGACAGACAATATTTCAGATAGCAGTTATCAGAGACATTAGTAAAATATGCTCAGATTTATACCTTTTTTCTTTTTAAACAACTCTTAAACCAATTGAAGGCAAACACATACATACTGTAAAAGTGGTGTTCTCTCTGTCTCCCTCTAAAAACATTTACAAAGAAAACAGGTGGACATTCATGGTGGCCTTATTTCTCACAGGGATTTGTTTTTGCATTAGACTGTACTTTGGTCTGCCCTTATTAGCATTGTGTATATTTTCCATAAGGGTACCAATGTACACTGCATACAACATGTGCTGAGAGTGCAAAGATGAAAACACACAAGTGGGGCACACCAGTAGCTGAATGGTTACAGTGCTGCGCACCACATACACAAGCACAAGTGTGTGTGTGACATCAGCTCGTTCGAGTCCAGCCACCAACCTAGGTCCTGACCTGCGACATAGGTCTGTCTCCCCTGTGTCCTTTCTGTCTCTCAGTGACCTGTTCTACCCATAATATAAAATAATAAAGGCAAGATGTCCAAAAAATAACTTTAAAAAGAGAACACTCAAGATATGGGCAAACTCAAAAACACACACCTACTCACATAAGTCATGAGGCAAACCCAGATGTTTCCAAGAGATAGCTTTGCTATTATTATAGCTTAGTGCTACTTGTCATAACAAAACTTTTGTGTGATGAGCGCCCACTTTATTTGTATATATCTGATATGACAAACACAAAAAAGAACTGAATTATGCTCATGGTAGCTGGTTTGAAAATGTGTGTCAGAGACTGGAGAATTCAACAAGATCATAGCCGGACTCAAGGACAGGTGTTTAAACAAGGCTAGTAACACAGCCTGTTGTCAGGTGTTCATACACCAGTATGAGCTACTGCTGGCGAGAGCCGATCTGGGCTGAAAATGGGCCCAGCAGGGGGTGAACATAGTGGGATCCCATCTCTGAAGATCTCCCACCAGTATTAGCTCAACAGGTGTGCCCAAGGCAGCTGCTACAAACTGTTTGACTTTCTTTGACCACTCATACTCTACACTACAAAGTTTGAGGACATAGATAAGGGTGAAATAAATGTTTAAAAATCAAATGACTCCAACTTTAGTTGAGGACTTAGCTTAAAAGAACAATTTGACATTTTGAGAAATACAAATATACACTTATGGACATATTTTCTTTCTTGCCAAGACTTAAATGAGGTCAATCACTCTTATGTCTGCACAGCAAATACTGTATGTAGCTATGGAGCCAGCAGCCAGTTAATCTGGCTTAGCACAGAGACTGAAAACAGAGGGAAATGGCTAGCCTTGCTCTGTCCAAAGGTAACAAAATCATGTCATTTGCTTAATGTCTATATAAACCAGTGAGTAAAAATGAAAGTTCATCGTTTAGAGGGCGGGGTTATGTGCCTTCCTGCAGTCTCAGCTGTTTAACTTGCAACAGCAAAGAAAATGTTTGATATATAACCACAGCAAAACAGCGAATTGTCATTTTTGCACTTTGTTGTGCAAATAAACAAACAAGACCTAACATGGTAATTAATGAGATTTAGAGGTGCACATAGGTGGATTTTGTTTTATTTAGACTGAGTCAGGCTTCTCCTTCTGTTTCCAGTTATTGTGTTAAGCTAAGCTAACTGGCTGGCAGTTGCTAACTTCACATGTACTTCACATGACAGTGATATCATTTTTTTTTCATTTAGCAAGAAAATTAATAACTATAACCTATTTCCCAAATGTCAAACTATTAATTTAAATCACATTTTATTCTATCATGCATCTTTAGACTATACTCCATGTTTTTATCTTCATTTAAATGTTTGCATTCTAGGAGATCAGAGTACATTTTGTATATGTTCTCATTCTATTCATTGTTTTCATTTAGTTGGAGAGGTTATTCTTTGTGTCCCTACTTGGTCATTACCAGTGTCGGGGAGTAACTAGTTACTGTAATAAAAAAAAAAAATGTAATTGTAATCTATTGCAGTTAATGAGAAAGAATATGTAATTAAATTACAGTTACACATCAAAATGTTGGTGATTACAAAGGGCTTACATCTGAATATATTATTTTCAGGAAAACCCTGGTGTATATGGGCCGATAGCATTCACTCTGTTGCTTTGCATTTTTTCACCTTTGAGCAGTCCTTTTTGATCGGTTTTCTTGTTTGACTTTGCACTGCCTTTCACGTGGCAATCGAATTGGTCTAAGCAGTCTGGCTGTGACCAGCCAACAACTGCAAGGCAGGTGACCACATTGTCAGACAAGAACACTTTTCATTGTTGAAAATTCAACAGTATTTTCCTTCTGAAATCAGAACAGGGTTTTGCTGGGTACCTTCAGTAGGATACATTTCAGAAGTAATATTATGTAGCCTAACTGAAGTTATGTTGAACCTTTAATAAAGGCTCGACAATTATAAGTGACAAGTGCAGTTGTGAGCTTGTTTAAATTTATGTTTGGTCTTTTCAGCTGTATTGCCCAGTTTAAAACATATTCTAAAAATGTAATCACAAAGTAATTAAAAGTACAGTAAGGTGTTTCATTACTGTGATGTTATAGCTACAATACTTATTACATTTTTAAAAGGATAACTAGTAATTATACCATATTACATTTCAAAAGTAACCTTCCCAACACTGTACATTACAACAAAAGTGTCTCTGTAAACCATCTAAGCTTTCATCAGATTCCACTTAACTCTGTTTAAACAACCGACTAATGCTTGTGTGTTAAAATACAAGTCACAACGCTGTCACTGATCCACCTTTACATGCATACAGACTCTTGTTAATGAACACACACATGCTTACAGATATTTACAAAGTTGATTTATTCCCAGAT